TGAGCTGTGGTGCCAAGGCACTCTACTGAGGGATATAGAGTGAGACTCTGTCTCTACAAAAAAGAAAAAAAAAAGTTTCTTAATTCCTTTAAACATTTTAAAAACATTTTAAGAAAAAAGTTTCTTAATTCCTTAAAACATTTTAAAAATAAAAGTAGTGGTGGCAGGACATGTGTGGTGGCTCATGCCTGTAATCCTAGCACTCTGGAGGCCAAGGTGGATGGATTGCCTGAGCTCACAGGTTCAAGACCAGCCTGAGCAAGTCCAAGACCCCATCTCTAAAAATAGCTGGGCATTGTGGCAGGTGCCTATAGGCCTAGGTAGTTACTTGGGAGGCTGAGGCAAGAGAATGACTTGAGCCTAAGAGTAGAGTTTGAAGTTGCTGTGAGCTATGATGTTACATTACTTTACGAGGTGACAAAGTGAGACTCTTGTCTCAAAAAAAAAAAGTAGGGCTGGTAATGATATGAAAGGTATCATGTGCCTTATTTTGGGAATCAAATTGAAAGTTAAGGCCAGCCATGGTGGCTCATACCTGTAATCCTAGCACTCTGGGAGACTGAGGCGGTGGATTGCCCTGAGCTCAGAGGTTCAAGACCAGCCTGACCCAGAGTGAGACCCGAATCTCAACAAAAGAAAGAAAAGCCTGGCGTTGTGGCGGGTGCCTGTAGTCTCAGCTACTTGGAAGGTGGAGGCAAGTGAATGGCTTAAACCCAAGAGTTTTTGTGAGCTATGATGCCACAAAAACCAAACTATCATAGCACTCTACCAAGGACAACAAAGTGAGACTCTGTCTCAATAAAAAAATAATTAACACATTGAAAGTTAAACACTTAGGCTCAGCACCTGTGGCTCAAGTGGCTAAGGCGCCAGCCACATACACCTAAGGTGGTGGGTTCGAATCCAGCCTGGGCCTGCCAAACAACAATGACGGCTGCAACCAAAAAATAACTGGGCGTTGTGACAGGTGCCTGTGGTCCCAGCTACTTGGGAGGCTGAGGCCGGAGACTCGCTTGAGCCCAGGGGTTAGAGGTTGCTGTGAGCTGTGATGCCATAGCACTCTACCCAGGGGGATAGCTTGAGGCTCTGTCTCAAAAAAGAAAGAAAGAAAGAAAGAAAGTTAAACACTTTGTTAAATTAAATTAAAATTAAATTTGGCTAGCACTCTGGGAGGCTGAGGTGGTGGATTACCTGAGCTCAGGAGTTCCAGACCAGCATAAGAGTGAAACCTGCATCTCTGCTAAAAATAGAAAAACTAGCTGGGCATTGTGGAGGGTACTTTTAGTCCCGGCTATCTGGGAGGCTGAGGCAAGAGGATTGGTTCAAGCCCAGGAGTTTGAGGTTGCTGTAAGCTATGACACTAGGGCCCTCTTCCCAGGGTGAATTAGTGAAACTTTGTCTCAAAAAGAAAAATGTTTTGTAAATAAAGGTACATTTAGCTAGAATTTCCTAACGTATGGCTACTTTAGGGACAACTTTTGGGACACCCTATATTAAACAGTTTGAAGAGAAAAGAAAACAGTCATCTCCCCAACTTAACATTGCTATTGTAAGTTTTGGTATATTCTTGATCACATTTTTCAGTAATGAACATTGTATTTTTCATTTAACCTTATGGCATATGCATTTTTCTAGATTGTCATTTGGCTTTCATAGTTATTATTTTTATTATTACACAGTATGCCATCAAATAGATTAGACTCTCTACTAAGCCATCCTTCCTTGTTGACATTTACACTGATTCCCGTTTTTCACTGACAGGAAGCCAATGAACATCTTTAGGCATATGATTTAATCATAAATCATCAGATATGGCATTTTGGGGACAAAATGACTCTGAAGTTTTTATAGTTCTTGGGTTTCTTTCTTTCCTTTTTAAGACAGAGTCTCACTTTGTCACTCTTGGTAGAGTGCCGTAGTGCTACAGCTCATAGCAACCTCCAGCTCTTGGGCTTAGGCGATTCTCTTGCCTCCACCTCCCAAGTAGCTAAGACCACAGGCGCCTGCCACAATGCCCAGCTATTTTTTTGTTGCAGTTTGGCAGGGGCTGGGTTTGAACCCACCACCCTCAGTATATGGGGCTGGCACCCTACTCATTGAGCCACAGGCGCCACCCAGCTCTTCAGTTTCTTGAACCAGCATGGGGAAGGAGAAATAACCTGAGTGGAAATGGTGGGAAATGATAAAGACAGACACAAGGGCCATAAAACACAAGAGAGGAAGGATAGGATGGGTTTGGGAGGTCTAGATGCAGCTAACGACTGCAGCCAGCACCAAACTGTGGAAGAGACTTTATTTATAAAGTCTCGTTAACAAAGTAAATCTTTTTTTTTTTTTTTTTTGAGACAGAGTCTCACTATGCTGCCCTCAGTAGAGTGCTGTGGCATCACAGCTCCCAGCAACCTCCAACTCTTGGGCTTAAAGCCAGTCTCTTGCCTCAGCCTCCCAAGTAGCTGGGACTATAGGCAGCCACCACAATGCCTGGCTATTTTTTGTTGCAGTTGTCATTGTTGGTTAGCAGGCCCTGGCCAGGTTCAAACCCACCAGGCCTGGTGCATGTGGCCGGTTCTGTAACCACTGAGCTACTGGTGCAGAGCCCATCAAGGTAAATCTTAACACCTGGAATAAGGATTAACTTTAAGGAGGAAAAGCTGTGTGCTTGCCAATAAGGAAAGTATGCATGGGCTATGTAGCTTCTGGCAGGTGAAAAGAATGTTTGTGGTTAAAGGAGGAGACCCAGAAGGGGGTGAGGAGGGTGGTTCATTGAATGCTTCCCTAAGCTGTGGGGGCCCTGCCACCTCACAGCCCGTCCCCACACTTGGGATATACTGCCAAATTGCTTTCCAAAAAGGATCAAATTAAATTACAGCATCACCAACTATTTAAAAATAACTCTCTTACAAGAGTACAAGTGAATCTTTCTAAGAGTAGAATATGATTGTCTTAACACAATAACTAAGAAAATGACACGTAGGCTGTGTTAACCAGTTTGATGAAAATATTTCAAATTGTATATGAAAACACCACACTGTACCCCAGAATTGCATTAATGTACAGTTATTATTTACTAAAAAAGAAATAAAAATAACTCAATACACACACACTTGGACAGTTATACATATGATTGTGAAATAATTTCCTTGCCAATTTATTGGCTTGGCACCTGTGGCTCAAGCAGCTAGGGCACCAGCCACATACATCAGAGCTGGTGGGTTCAAATCCAGCCCAGGCCTGCCAAACAAAAATGACAACTACAATAAAAAAAAAAAAAATAGCCCGGTATTGTGTTGGGCGCCTGTAGTCCCAGCTACTTGGGAGGCTGAGGCAAGAGAATTGCTTAAGCCCAAGAGTCTGAGGTTGCTGTGAGCTGTCACACCACGGCACTCCACCAAGGGTGACATAGTGAGATTCTGTCTCAAAAAAAAAAAAAAAAGAAAGAAAGAAAAGAAAATTTTGCCAATTTATTTACAGCTTTTTCTTTTTGGAAACAGAATCTCAAGCTGTCAGCTGGGTAGAGTGCTGTTGCATCATAGCTCACAGCAACTTCCAATTCTTGAGCTCAAGCGATCCTCTTGCCTCAGTTTTTGTTTTTAGTAGAGATGGGGGTCTTGCTTTTTGCTCAGACTGGCCTTTAACTCCTGAGCTCAAGCAGTCCACCCACCTCCGCCTCCCAGAGAGCTAGGATTACAGGCATGAGCCGCTGTGCCTGGCACAGCATTCTTTTTCTTACATATGCATGTTCATTTTTCTTGAAATGAATAATGGAATTATATATAAACAAATACATGTAAATGTATATATATTTAAATGGTACTATGATTTCTTTTCCATGCTTTTTTTCCTAAATAAAAGGTATTTTATTTCAGAGTTTCCATAATTACAATGAATGCTGACTCATTAACTTTCAAAACTGAGAAACCATCTGATTTGGGGTCTTACTTTAGGTTAAAATGTATTATAAAGGTTGCACAGAGTTTATAGAAAGGACAATAATTTGTATTTTTTTAGACAGAGTCTCTTTACGTTGCCCTTGGTAGCGTGCTGTGGCGTCACAGCTCACAGCACCCCAGACTCTTGGGCTCAAGTAATCCTCCCGCCCCAGCCTCCCACGTAGCTGGGACCACAGGACACAGGTATCCACCATCATGCTGGCGCTGGGGTGCGGTGCCCTCACGCCTATAATCCCTGAATTTGCGAGGGGGAGGCAGGAGAATCTCTTGAGCTCAGGAGTTCGAGACCAGCCTGAGTAAGAGTGAGACCCTGCGGGCGCGGTGATTCACACTTGTCATCCCGGCACTTGGAAGCAGGTGGATCGCCTGAGCTCACATGTTCGAGCCCAGCCTAAGCCAGAGCGAGACCCCATCTCTAAAAAATAGCCGGGCGTTAGGCTGGCGCCTGTAGTTAGCTACTCGGGAGGCTGAGGCAGGAGGCTCGCTTGAGCCCAGGAGTCTGAGGTTGCTGTGAGCTGTGACGCTACGGCCCTCTACCGAGGGCGACATAGTGAGATTGTCTCAAAAAAAAAAAAAAAAAAGAAAAAAAAAGAAAAAAGCGCAGCAATGCAGTCCGCTGGGACCCGGGAAGCCCGCGCACCCTGAGTCCCTTCCACGGCCTCCGGGAGGCCTGAGCTTCTGGTTGCCCCGCGTGGGTCCCTTCGCCCTCCTTCTGGAACCCGGGAGAGCCTGCGACCTCAGGCACGAATTCCCAGAGCCCAGCAGCCCGGCCCTCAGCTTCCCGCGTCCACCGATCCGCCTATTTTCCGCTTCAAACGCCCCACGGTCGCTTCACCTTTCAATCAATTCAAATGTCGCACCAGGCGAGCCAATCGCAAACCTCGGCGAGGGGAAGAGGCGGGCGCGTTCGCCGGATGTGGTGGTTAAAGCCCCTCCAATCAGCGGCTCGGTGCGGGAAGTTTGAGTTGTGCGGCGGCGCGCCTCGGAGGCAGTGGTCGTTCACCTCCTTGTTCCTTGACTTTTGATTCCCTTGAGGGTTCCCGCTAGGAGGTGCTTCAGGTAGGTGGGCGCGGGAGGGAGGACGCCGTTATTCCCGCTTTTGTGGAAGGTCTAGCAGGCTGTGAGCGCCGCGGGCTGCGAGCGGGACGCCGTTCAGGGAAAGGCGCCTCCCCCACGGTGCTGCCCGCGTTCCCAGCCTGATAACACAGTTGCCAGAAGAGTAAATATTTCCTGCCATCATCTGTGTAGCGGGCAGCGTTTCAGCACCGCGGCGTAATTGGCCTTTGGGTGAAACGATTCCTCAGTTTGCGGGGATATTTAGCATCCCTGGTTCCAAGGTTAAATTCCAGTAGCTCCTCCCAGGTCCTGTGACAACTGAAATTGCCGGGTTGGAGCCTTCGGCAGGAGAGAGGAACGCATTCTAGACTTTCAGATCAACCCAAAAAAACTCAGATGTGTGTGAAGAGCCGCAGATCCACTACCTTGGAGCTGTGCTGATGTGGGCAGTTAATTTTCCTCACCTGCATAACGGCAGAATAACCTCACCTTTTAGGATTGTTTTGACAATTAAATATGCCTTTAATTTTCTTTCTCTCTTTCTCCTGCTCTCTGAATAGTGTTATTTTGTATTTTAAAATAGCTAGTGTAGGGCGGCGCCTGTGGCTCAAAGGAGTGGGGCGCCGGCCAAAAACTGCAAACAAAAACACACACACACAAAGCTAGTACTATGTATTAATTTTTCCTTAATGTTTAGCAAATGACTACTTGCAGGAAGTGACAAATCAAATAGTAGAGAATTCTTGCTGTAAAATCCATTGCATTGTCATTTTCTTTTCTTTTTTTTTTTTTTAG